AAATTCAAAAATCCGAATTTCTTAAAATTCAACATTTTTCTTCTTTTTTATGGCATTTAGCTTTATTATTTTTGTGCTTTTGGAAAATACTTTACCTATTTAATAGTCTCCACCCTTTGGTAAAAAATCTAAAATTATGGAAAATTAGCAAAAATTCAAAAACCCGAATTTCTTAAAATTCAACATTTTTCCTTCTTTTTTATGGCATTTAGCTTCAATATTTTTGTGCTTTTGGAAAATACTTTACCTATTTAATAGTCTCCACCCTTTGGTAAAAAATCTAAAATTTTGGAAAATTAGCAAAAATTCAAAAACCCGAATTTCTTAAAATTCAACATTTTTTCTTCTTTTTTATGGCATTTAGCTTTATTATTTTTGTGCTTTTGGAAAATACTTTACCTATTTAATAGTCTCCACCCTTTGGTAAAAAATCTAAAATTATGGAAAATTAGCAAAAATTCAAAAACTCGAATTTCTTAAAATTCAACATTTTTTTCTCTCTTTTATGGGATTTAGCTTCAATATTTTTGTGCTTTTGGAAAATACTTTACTTATTTAATAGTCTCCACCCTTTGGTAAAAAATCTAAAATTATCGAAAATTATCAAAAATTCAAAAATCCGAATTTCTTAAAATTCAACATTTTTTCTTCTTTTTTATGGCATTTAGTTTTATTATTTTTGTGCTTTTGGAAAATACTTTACCTATTTAATAGTCTCCACCCTTTGGTAAAAAATCTAAAATTATGGAAAATTAGCAAAAATTCAAAAACCCGAATTTCTTAAAATTCAACATTTTTTTCTCTCTTTTATGGGATTTAGCTTCATTATTTTTGTGCTTTTAGAAAATACTTTACCTATTTATTAGTCTCGACTTTTTGGTAAAAAATCTAAAATTATGGAAAATTAGCAAAAATTCAAAAACCCGAATTTCTTAAAATTCAACATTTTTTTCTCTCTTTTATAGGATTTAGCTACAATATTTTTGTGCTTTTGGAAAATACTTTACCTATTTAATAGTCTCGACTTTTTGGTAAAAAATCTAAAATTATCGAAAATTATCAAAAATTCAAAAATCCGAATTTCTTAAAATTCAACATTTTTTCTTCTTTTTTATGGCATTTAGCTTTATTATTTTTGTGCTTTTGGAAAATACTTTACCTATTTAATAGTCTCCAACCTTTGGTAAAAAATCTAAAATTATGGAAAATTAGCAAAAATTCAAAAACCCGAATTTCTTAAAATTCAACATTTTTCCTTCTTTTTTATCGCATTTAGCTTCAAAATTTTTGTGCTTTTGGAAAATACTGTACCTATTTAATAGTCTCGACTTTTTGGTAAAAAATCTAAAATTATGGAAAATTAGCAAAAATTCAAAAACCCGAATTTCTTAAAATTCAACATTTTTTTCTCTCTTTTATAGGATTCAGCTTCAATATTTTTGTGCTTTTGGAAAATACTTTACTTATTTAATAGTCTCCACCCTTTGGTAAAAAATCTAAAATTATCGAAAATTATCAAAAATTCAAAAATCCGAATTTCTTAAAATTCAACATTTTTTCTTCTTTTTTATGGCATTTAGCTTTATTATTTTTGTGCTTTTGGAAAATACTTTACCTATTTAATAGTCTCCACCCTTTGGTAAAAAATCTAAAATTATCAAAAATTATCAAAAATTCAAAAATCCGAATTTCTTAAAATTCAACATTTTTTCTTCTTTTTTATGGCATTTAGCTTTATTATTTTTGTGCTTTTGGAAAATACTTTACCTATTTATTAGTCTCGACTTTTTGGTATAAAATCTAAAATTATGGAAAATTAGCAAAAATTCAAAAAACCGAATTTCTTAAAATTCAACATTTTTCCTTCTTTTTTATGGCATTTAGCTTTATTATTTTTGTCTAATTAAGCAAATTCCTTACTTTACATACTGATCATTAAATAAAAAACTTTAATAACTTTTCCTGAAAAGCTTGCTTAAAGATTAAAAATCACTATTTTTTTTGAATAAGTTGATCTAAAAAAACGAAAAAAAATTTCAAAATACGTCTTTTTTAAAAATTTTATTGTAGAAATGGGTTGTATTTATCTGAAAAAGTTAGCTAAGGATAGTTTTGCATTCATTTTACAAAAAGTAAAAAATTTGCATTTTTTTGATTTTTCGAATTTTTTGGAAAAATGTCATAACTTTCGTTCAAGTTAATATTTTTTAATCGGATAAGGCTATGATTTCAAGTTACGTTAATTCCTAATAGACTGCCAAATTTCACTTTAATTGTTTAAACCGTTTTCAATTATTGATGCGCGAACAAAGTTTTGCATACAGACAAACAGACAGGAATTTTTTTTTTACATTTTTCGAATTCTAATGTCTCAAAACGAAAAAATATATAAAAATTTTCAAGTTTGGAGCAATGTACAGACAGAAGTCTGATTTTATTAATATAGAAGATACATATCTTTTTAAAAAAATTTAGATAAATTTCTTTTTAATAAGAAGTAGAAATGATTATTCTATTCTTTCTATAATAACTTGTAAAAATTTACAGTGTTCATAATGTGATTTTAATTAGCTCCTCCTTTTGGAAGCAGGTGAAGAAGAATTAGAAATTGGTAATGTAGCATCGGCATTTTTGTTAACAATGGGAAGTAGTATTGATTGGAAATATAAAACAGAAGCGGACAAAAATTCTTGTCAAGCTGCCGATGGTTGTTCGATGACACGTGGAAAGGTGACTAATTATATAAACTTTTATTTCTAATAAATAAATCAAATAAATCGCTAATTATTTCTAACTATGTTAGGATTTATGATCGAAAAAAATTTGATGACAAAAATATTTTGTTTCTTAGGTAATGGGAGGATCGAGTTCAATTAATGCTATGTTGTATGTCAGGGGATCCCCATCAGACTATGACAATTGGGTTAAACTAGGTAATGACGGTTGGAGTTACAAGGACGTTTTGCCTTATTTCAAAAAGTCTGAAAATAATCTAGACGATAATGTAAGTTATGCTTATTATTTTATAACGCTTGCATTTTTGAACCACAATGGGAAATTTAGTGTCATAGTTATATACAGACCATATTTTGAAAATAATTATAATTTTTCAGATAGTGAGTGCAAATCCTCAGTATCACAATAAAGGAGGATATCTATCAGTGGAAAAATTTCCTTTTACTGACATAAATGCGCAACTATTAACAAAAGCCTGGCAAGAAATGGGATACAAATACGTTGACGTGAATGCTAATAATACACAAATTGGAGTAATGAATCTACAGACAACGTCACTTAATGGGAGGCGTCAAAGTACAAATAGTGCTTTTATTCGACCAATTAGACAAAAAAGGCGTAATTTGTACATTGAAACAGGAGCATTTGTTACGAAAGTCAAAATAGATCCTGAAACAAAAAAGGCGATTGGTGTTTAATACATCAACAAGTATGGAGAAAAGAAAATTGTAATGTCACGCAAGGAAGTTATCATATCAGGGGGTACAGTTAATTCGCCGAAGCTTCATTTGCTTTCTGGAATTGGACCAGCTGATGAACTAAAGAAACACAATATCAGTGTGATAAAAGATTCACCAGTCGGTCGAAATCTTCAGGATCATGTAACGTTTATTGGTCTCCACATTAAACTAAACAACACTTCAACAAAAAAGAGTTTAAAGAAAAGAATTACAGACTTACAACATTATTTAAAGAATAAAACAGGCCATCTAGCTCGAATAGGACCTTTAGAGAGTGCTACTTTCATCAAAACGAGTTTTGAATCTGAAGATCAAGTTCCAGATATCGAATATAATTATGCGCCAATTGATAGTAATCGACAATTGTCTCTTTCAAATTCATATGAATTAATAAGAGTTCTTCCCTTCTTGTTGAAATCTAATAGTAGAGGAACGATAACCCTGAATCCATCAGATCCAATTATGGGACCACCTGTAATTCGTGAAGGATTTTTAACCAAGAGTCCAGACCGAGAACGTCTATTGGAAGGAATAAGAATTTTCCAATCTTTATTAAAGACAAAAATCTTTCAAGAGAATGGAATGACTCTAGATGAAGAACCATGGCCTCTTTGCAAACAATTTCAATTCAATAGTGATGATTACTGGTTGTGCATGTTGAGGCAATATACAGAATCTGATTTACATCCGGTTGGTACTTGTAAAATGGGTCCAGAGTCCGATGTAGATGCTGTAGTTGATCCAGGATTACGAGTTCGTGGAATAAAGGAACTCAGAGTTGTTGATGCCTCGATAATGCCGATCATTGTTGGAGGCAATACTAACGCACCGACTATTATGATTGCTGAGAAAGCTAGTGATATGATTAAGAATGATTGGAAGAGAAAAACTAATTAATATGCAGGGATTTCAATAAAAGTTTATTTAAAGATTCCTTTAATAACAGTTTAAAAATTATACAATCTATACCTTGGAATTAAATGTATGTAATTAATATATTAATTCTATTTTATTTGTAAATGCTTAATTGTACCATACCTTCAGGTTGAATCCCTTATAAAGACTTTTATGTAAGGTTTACGTATTGCTAACTGCTTTGTAAACAATTATTAATAGAATCTTTATTATTGCTTTCAGTATACGTTAAAATTGAAACATTCAAAATGGCGGATCCAATATGTTAGACATTTTTTCAAATATTTACCTGCATTTCCTTAATTGTCCTTAATATTACGAATATTGACAAAATTTTACCAAACTTAAAAACTTCAAATGACAATAACTCAGAACAAGATAAAGATTTTTAAAAATTTCAAAATACACTTTAAAGGAAAGGAATTGTTCTTTTGGATAACATATCGACCTTTCTGAAAACAGTATTTATATTATTTTCTCTCAAGTATAATAAGAATATTCCTTTTTTGGAGTTTAGAAAAAGCCACATATATTAAAGTGTAAGTAACTACATATATTATTTATAACATATATATACATAATTTTTTTAATTTCTCATCTTTAATTGTCTTTTATCTTAATATCTTGTTCGTAGGACTGACAAATACGAAACTGATGTCTGTATGATCTGAAAATAATAATTGTTTTTGTTTCATACTTGCAAGATATAATATATAAATAAATATAATAATAATTAAAAAAGCCTTACTCTTGTGAAGCTTCCAATGGATAATTCAGTAAATTTTCCAACTGTTAACGCCAACGGTTTTTGTGTTTTTAATATTATCAGTATTAGAAGTTTAATATTTGATGGCGAAGTTTCATACCATGAACAATCACTTACACATTGAGGGATATTTGAGCTCTGCGAAGAATTATGAAATTATGCACATTAGTCGTATTTCAAATTCATATATTCACTTTAGAACGCAATAAATATTTTATAGGCAAAATAATCACTGGAAAAAGCAAAATAAAAGTATATGTAAGAAAGAGAGAAATTGTTTGTAATAAATAACCTGTGAGAGCAGAATTTCTCCAGAGAAACAAAAAGCAAAAGCTTGAGATAGATTTAGAAATATGTAAATTACATTTTTCATCATTTCAAATAGGTCAAGTATCCCTTCATATTCAAACTGGAAAGCAATGAACTGTTGTTAAAACATATTTTTGATTTGTCAAACTTTAATCTATTAAATGACATTAAATAAGTCTTTTTGGTCATAGATTTATGAAAATTAATAAATTAATTTTTTACTGTCAAATTTATTGTACTTACAGTTATAATTAAAAATCCTGCAAGACACAATACTATAATACTGGCAAAAAATTGAGTTAGACAAATGTAACTATAGATGCTTTCAATTTTATCATGCAGTTTGATTAGTTTTCTATGCTTGTGTACAACGGCTTTTATGAACATAATTAAATATCTACTGTCGGATGATGTAGATTGAAATGATATTTCACTAATTTCTTTCAATAAAAGATCAATTCTACCCACCAGATGAAATATCTGCATTATAAAATAAATTATGAATTATTTTTTGTCATTTTTAAATTATTATTTTTATATAATAATTTTTTGAATAACAACTCTTATAGATAATGTTAGGTCATCGTAACATATTTTCAATAACCAATAATAATATGTATAACTAGTAATAATGATAATATGACATTAATAAGAATGGTAACAATAACAATTAAAACTAATAACAATATCAATAATAATAATATGTAAAATAATAATTAATAATAATGATAGTAAATAATAAAGTTAACAGTACAAACAATGGATTTTAGAAAATGCATACTTTAAGTGCAATTTAATATAAATCGGTTTAATGCAGCGTTTCAAAGAAACGTTTTAAAAAAGTTTTAAGGAAGACTTAAAAAAAAGTGTAAGAAATTAAGTTAAAAAGTTGAAGTGTAAAACCTTACCAAAGTACCAAGTAACGATTCGGATAAACCATTGGCAAAAAACCATAGTATGTAAAGTATAGCCTGAAAAATTAATGCTAAAACAAAATAAGGAGTAAACTCCATATCAAAAGGATATGATACTGGTATCAGCAACACTTTCTCATTTGCAAAAAATCCGTAAAAACATTCCATGAAGTATGCAATGCTAACTGCTAAATAAAGAGTCCAAATGCAAGTACAAAACTTATAGGCATACTGTAAATATTTCGTCATTATTTCCAGATCTTTAGGATCCTTCAAATTATTCCAATCTTGTTCTATTTCCATAAGAACGGAATGCAAATTTCTAGAATATGAATTTTTTTTAAATGACTATATATTTAAAACAATTAAAAGGTAAAAATCAAATTGAAGAAAGGGCAAAATATTGCATTAAGTTATTATTGCATAGGATTAATGCTTATGAAGAAATATGGTATACTGTTATACTAACTGTTTTTACTGTTAAATTTACCCTACTTTTAAAATTTTTAATATTTAGGGAGATTTTAAACAATTCTGAAATTAGACCGAATTTTCCAGTGAATGATGAACAATAAAATAGAGCAAATCTTTCACACCCAAGGTTTAAATACTTTACCCCTGATTGAAACGTAAAATTCCAAATTTAATGATTATGAATATAACGGCGGCCATATTTCTAACTCCATCAACCATTTTTTGCTTGTCTTCATAATCTCCATAAATATCTTTAAGTTGAAAGGGAGAAATTCCAATGAGTGAAGAATAAATAAGCAACTGAGTAATTAAAATTGGTTTGTTTGGCCACAAACCAAGAATACGAAGACTATATTGTAAAGTCCAGTGAACAATGGGAATTTTCATATCTTCACGATTTTCTCCCATGATAGTTGGATTATTTTCAATTACAAGGATACAAAATAATATTATTTTACGAAAGAGGGAAGTGGATAATAATTTCTTTTGTTTAAGAATATCATTTCCTAGGAGACGTGCGTCATTATTACTGAGTCTATAGTTTAATGATAACAATATATCAATTTAGAAATAAGTTATTCAAGGTTCAAAGACCGAGAGCGTACGTATGCTATAAAGTATTAAAAAATTGATGAGAAATCCCAGAAGAGGATACTAATTGTTTAACAAAGTTTCAGCTAATATTCATCATTTATTATTGATGCTCAATATATATCGTCTTTGAAGTTGTAAGAACTTGGATTATGCACATATTTTATTATTTGCGAAATTATATTAATTTCGCAAGTACCTAATAATTTATAAATCCTAAAACTTTTATATATATTATGTATATCGTTTTTTTTAGTACTGTGATAAGAATTTGGTCATAATATTTCAAACGATAGTAACGAATTAAGCGAACAGTTTATATATATTTGTAAAGCAAATTTATCGGTTGCATAAAATTAATTACAAGGGAGTAAGTATATATTTATGTCAAAATTAATTTGATTTATTGTTACGTCTAAAGTACCACACTTTATTTTTCCTATTTTCCCTCAGGGTGTATTTTTAAAACTGTGTGTTCAAAGACCATTATGTAAAAGTGAAAAACCATTGATATAATTTGGAGAATTGCTACGAATTGCTTACGAACAATTGCAAAAATTTAATTATTTTTTCAAAAGTAATAAAATTCTTTAAAAAATTTTGATAAAATTCTTTATGAGAATTCTTGAAAAAATATTCAATTATTCAATAAGTTATTAATTTGAATTTCATTTGTATTTAAATAATGGAATTCTCGTTGAATTTTCTAATAAAAATTGATTTAAAAATGAATTTCAATTAAAATTTTATAGATAATATATTAAATATTAAAAGTATTATAGCATAGAATTTTTAAAAATAATTGAATTCTGAAAAGGTTTCAAATTAAAATCTTTAAAAATTAAAATTTTAACAAACAACTGTGAAATTAATTTTTTTCAAAAAGTTTAATTGAGGCCTTGGATCCAATAACTCGCCCGACGCTCGGAGGAACGCGCAACTGCCAGTCAGTGAGCAGTGAGCGCCTCTGGGCCACTCACTGCTACCCGACTGGTATTAGCGCGTACCTTCAAGCGTCGGGCGAGTTATTGGATCCAAGGCCTCAATTGGATTTTTTTTTGAAATTTTTCGAAGTTTTTATTTTGTAATATATATTTAATTGAAGAATTTACGAATACCCAAGTAGCACGTAATATTAGGAACATTCCAGCAATATGCCACAACATTGAGGCAATATTGGTAATGTTAAGGCAATGTTCCCAATATCGTTGTAATATTACGTGCTACTGGGGTAGGTAATTGAAGAAATAGAATATTCTTATAATATAAAATAATGATTTTATCAGTCGGTCATCTTTAATTATTATAAAACATGAAGAAAGCGATTTTCATCTTTCTTCATCGATATTTTCATCTTCATGTTTTATATAATTAGTTATGAAAAATTTAATTTATAGTTTAATAAAGTGTACTCACCTTAATTTACAGATGAAATTTTATAATTAGAGAAATAAACATTAATTCCATAATTTACTATGAGGACCATAGTGATGAGTATGAAGATAAAGTCGATGAAGGTAATAAAAAATAAAGAGTTAAAATGAGGTTTAAAAATTTAACAGAAGAAAAAACCGATTTTTCAAGTTGTATGTAGGTACTTTTTTTATTCCTGATGAATATTCCCATTACATGAAGGAGTTTTGTCGATGTACAATTCTTTTTACAACATGCATATATAAAAATTTTCAAATGAAAAAAAAATTATCGATATAAATTAAAGCGAAATATTACAAACGTAAATAATTAATATGTAAAATGAAAAATTTTTAACTCGAACAACAAAAGACAAATTTCTTTGATTTAAAAAAAGTTTCATACTTAATTAAAAAGTAAAAATTGAACTAAAAAAATTTATAAAAATCAAAAATCGCTCTCTCGATTCATTCACACACATCGAAAACATTCACACCGAAAAAACATTCACGAGGGCTGACTTTAGACTACAGTCTAGTCTCGGTCAACCCCCAAAATCGAGAGGTACTCCTTAAATTTTTTGCTTACATTCATAAGCCTGTACGCTTTTTACGCTGGACTACGATCGAAATCGAATGGCATGCCGCCGAAGAGGGCGCAAAACGAAGTTTCCACTTCCTGCCGGGCTGCCAATGTCGAATAAAGTTTCTTTTTGGATTTTTGGTCGATCACACATCGTAACGAAATCACTCGTCGTCGTCGTCGTCGATTCGTAGAGTGCTGTGAAAAAGAAAAGAATATTATTTTTAAAACTCAACAATAAACTAAAATTCTTTTTTAAATCAATTAATAACTTTTTGATGAATTTTTTAAAAAGAATTTTCAATTTAATTTTAAATCAATGTTTATTATAAAATTCGAATGAAATTAATTTTTATCAAATAAAAACTTACTTTCGATAGCTGAAGAGTGCTTCGTTGAAAGGTGGATCCTTCGCGATGAGTTCCTCGTCGATAAGGCCAATGTTGAGGATATTCCGCCCAGCATTGATGTCACGTTCCCACGTGAGTAGACAAACATCGCAACGAGTGAAACGATTGGGAGACTTTGATTTGAATTGTAACGCACAGCAAGTGCTGCACGAAAGCGTCGTGTACGGCTCCTTCACATTGACGATCTTCAAGAGTCTCTTCCCAAGTTGATTCGAACGATTGAAGAACGATTTTTTTAATCGTGCCATTGGACTGCCGACGTATCCTTTCGTGAAATTTGGTAAAGAAGCATTGCCCATTGCGACCAAGCAATGCTTCTTCTTCGTATCGCCAATCACGAAATTTACGAATTTGTCACATTCGCGCTGATGTGACATGTACTTGTCCATTTTCAATCTGACGACATTTTTCTTCTCGTGCACCACTTGAAAACGATCCATCAAGTGCAACTTGTATCGAACGATACGCGCGTAATCTGCTGGATTTGTCCACGTAAAATTTTCCATCGTCGGAAAATCTCGTACGTACTGCTTGAAGTAACTTTGAAGATCGAGATCAAGTTGTTTCATTTTCTCCTTACGCCGATACTCGTCCATTTGCCAACGAAAACTTTTACTTTTCACGTAAATATGCTGGTCCTTCTGCTTGTTGGTCGATGATGGCTGTGGAGTGCCGGTACGTCGAACGCCGCCAAATGTTGCTTTCTTCCCTGGATCGAATCCGTAAAACATTCTGTATTTTTGGTTTACGGGCATCGAATTTTCCTCGTCGTTTGCAGGCGGTTGTTGTTTCACTTTTGGAACGTCAAAGTGAATCGAAATGTCGACGCCGTTGGAGCTGATGGATTCTCCAAACGAATCCTCTTTGCCTCGTTCGACTTTCGAGAAATCGAAAATATCGCGCCATCGAGCTTCCTTGTCTTCAATTTGCAAGAAACGTTGAATTTCATCATCTCGTTCAGTTTTTACACGTTGAATTTGAGCTTTTCTTTGTACCGATGAAATTCCTCGACGACTATTGATTTCATTCATCAAATTTTTGCATTTATCGTGTTCTGCGCCTTTTTTAAGTTCCTCCAAACAAGTGTTTGTGTACAACACGTGGGCAATTCCTAATTTTGCCTGGGGTACAACCACGAAATTACGAACATTTTCGTTGTGAAAAAATTGTTGTACCCGAAGCATAAATGGAATAAACTTGGTCCAATCCGAGTTTTGTTTCTCATCTTCATCGTCATTAACATGTTTCTTCATTTCTTGAAATTTTAAATTTTCATCGGCCTGAAGAAACTGTTGAAACGCAGGAATGTCACAACGATTTTTGTCAAGCAAGAGTTGCACTTGCTGCACAGCCTTCTTTCTTGTCGATGATTGACGATTCGTACCTGATGATGACGACGACGACGACGATGCTTGTTGTTGTGCCTTAATTTGCCCCATCATTTTTGCGCCAAGGCTCTTGTTCACTTTCTTCTTATGCTTTCGACGATGTTTACGCTTACGATGTTTCGATTTGACGAAAACGAGTTCCCGATGCGAATTGTCTCTAGATCGACGCTCAATTCGTTCTTCAATTTTCGCTGTTTTAATTTGTTCACTCGTCATACGAATGGCAGGTCGAAATTGTTGGGCAGCAGCTCTTCTTTCTGCACGAATTTGCGCCTTGTGTTCTTTTCGCTTGGTTCGTTTTCTTTCGTTTCTCTTTGCACGTCTTCTGTTCCTTTTCGCATTTTCAGAATCGTTGTTTGGAGAAGGTTTGTCGTCATCCTCCCTGCTCGTCGATGGTGGATTGTTATCGATCGACAACAGATGCTGAAACAATCGCGTGAGTCGGCTCTCGAAGTGGGTATTGAAATTCGTTTTGAATTCTCGATCCATTTGACGACTAGCTTCTTTAATGATCGCAGTGCGATGTTCGCAGTCGTACAATTCTCGATTTCCACCACGTATCTCCTTGTACTCGTCTATTAATTGAACAAAAGCTGCATCTCGTTGCACAGGAACAATTTTTCTCTTCAGAGCAATGAACAGTTGTTCGTAATTTGGTCCATTCTTACTCCAAGATTCGAGAAGATTTTTATTCGTCGAATGACATAAAAATTGTAATGCCATTAATGACACTTCAATTTTCATGCGAGAAACAATTTTCGCATCTTCGAGAATCCTCTCCGTGATGAGACGAGATTTTGATATTGTACCGAGGAACGATTTAACGGTAGATTTACGAGTGCCTTTTCGTTTTGCGTGCTTTCTTGCCCTCTCGTTGTCGAATGTCTGTTTTGTCTTCGATTTGTCGTCGGAATCCTTCGCATCCTTCTTTGTCGTCTTCTTCTTCTTCTTCTTCGGTTCTTCCTTGTTTGGTTCATCGCTTTTTCTTTTTCGATTCGGTGCACATGATTTTCCGCCTCCATCCTTTGATGCTTTCGATTTTGCAGCGCAACGTCTCTTTGCGTTTCGATTGTTGAGTACTTTCGACAATGACGATGG